CTTTCTGTGAAAACATCTAAATGCAAGTTTTGCACAGAATAAGATCTAAACTGAGTATAGTTTTTGAAAACTGAGTGATTTTTGAAGACTTTTTAAACTGTTTCTTCCAAAAAGACCCTTAGAAAAGAATTATATCTGTACAGTAGACATAGGCCATAAGTATAGCATGAAATATAAGCATCTGTTGGAGACATGAGAGCTATAGATGAAAAACCACATGCTAGAGGCACCTGTAGGGGAGCATTGAGTATAAATGAACAGAAAACCAGTTAAAGAACATGAAGCAAACACTGGGCTGGATACTACATCTGAAAAAAAAGACATGATAGAGGTAGAAAGAGTCAAAAAAGGAAACCAAAATGATGTAGGGACTGGAGCATTTTCCCATTAGGAAATATTACACATTTGGCATATTGTTTAGCTTAGCGAGGGAAAAGGCATATGAAGGGGACTTGATGTGGTTAACAGTGAATGATAGTACTAGAACCTGGAGTTCTCTACTGAAGTGGAGTGATAGATTCTGATCTGATAAAAAGAAGTACTTCACATAGTACATAGGCTAGAATTTGCTACACCATAGTGTAGAGACAACTAACACTATGGATGACCTTAAAATGGAATTGAATATATTCATGAAGGATAAGGCTGTCAATAGCTAGTGCTCAAGGAAAAACAGTGGGAGAATGTTCTTGCTTCTAAGTCCTTCTGGTAGGCTTCCTTCTGGTTGACATCTGCTGGTCTAGGTGTGAACAAAACAGAAAACTAGAAGGGTTCTTGGGGTGATCCAGTGGGGTTGATCTTATCCACTTGATTTTGGCAAGAAAGAGTGAAGGGGCAGGTGAATCACCAGGCTGTAATTCTTTTGCATGCCATATTTGTCATAGCAGTGGAAATGCAAGTGAGAGGGAAAAAATTGCCATTTGAGACCTGGAAAAATGCAGATATCTCAAAATATTCCACAACAAAAGCATGCTACTCAGAACATAACTCTGGATAATGTCCAACACTGAGGCAACCATGGTGTAATTATTACACAAAATACGCCCCTTTAGTTTGGGGGCCTTTCACACTAGAGTTAGACTATTATGACTGCACCTTATTTGCTATTGCAGCTTCCTATGGACAGGGGGATTTACAGTTTAGGGAGGGCCATTTACAGTCCCTACCAGCAGGTTCTAGGGTCTTATCAAACTACAAATCCCAGCATTCTAACCACAACATATAAATGGAAACATAGTGCTATATCTAGGTAACATGAAAGGGCCTCTGATCTTGACTTCTGAGTTATTTACAATGAGCTACTTAGAAGGCACTTTTAAAGAAATGGCCACATGCCCTTTGGGGTTGAGACCAGTTCCATTCCTGTTTTACTTTCCCTGCACGCTCTGTCATTTCCCCTCTATCACAGCGCTGTCCCTGCTTTTATTTTTATCCTCCATGCTGAACAGAAATTTCCATTATTCTATGAGAGGCCTCAGTGGGTTGCACATTGCCATTCAATGTGTGTTTCACCCTTTTGTCTTTTCACAAATGATACCCTGGTTGAGTCTCAGGTCTCGAACTCACTCAGGTGTAAAGTTATAACAACAGATTTTAGCGGTGCTCAGAGTGCCTGCCCTTTGATCCTTGAAAGAAGTAAAAAGAATGTCAAATTATATACACACACACATGCACACACAGTGCCTTGTCTGAGAAGGTGGAATGGTAGGCTGTGAGATGTGCTGCATTGAAAAGTTACTTTCTTTGTACTACAATTTCCATAATCCTCAGCTGGAATGGGTATTGCTTATGCTGCTGGAGTGTTGGTGCTGTCAGTCCCCAAAAGCAACTTGCTCAACCCAAAAATTGAACACCTATTGGAGATTTTCTCCAAAACATTCAAGATATTTTTACAGTTAACTTTGAATGTTGCTCCCAACAAACATCCCCTTCTTCTAAATAAGCATATGAAAATGAGAATCTTTCAGAAGAAGCAAAATTTCAAAAAGCCACACACAAAAAACTTTAAAGCAATCTATCCAGTACATACCACCAACCAAGTCAAAGCTTTGTGGGAAGGTAAACCTTGGAAAGTATTTATTTATTTATTTATTTATTTATTTGTGTGGAACATTTATACCCCGCTCTATTCTCAACCTCCAAGGAAGGATTCAGGACAGCTACCAACAGGAAACAATTTGATGCCAAAACAATAAACATATAATAAAATACCATCAAATGCATAAAAAATCAATACATTAAAACCGTTCGGCACGTTAAAAATGTCATCCAAATTTAAAATTTTGTGAAGTTTTATTTCCTGCCTTAAGGCTGTTCTGTGTTTTGCTTTCATTGAAGAGCAACCCAAGACATCTTCGCTTTGTAAGATCAAGAGCATCCCTTCCCACTAATTACACAGAGCATAATGTACTCCAGACTGATGAATCTAATAATGTTATTGGTTACACACTTTTCCTTGTCGAAAATCTATTTGATCCAAAATTCAAATATGGCAAGGTTGAGGATTCATTTCTATGTTCATCTATTGAGCTAGATGTTTACATTTAGGCAGGATAAAACTCTTTGAAAAGGTAGACAGGTAGATCATGCCCTCCAACACTTCATAGATGAAGGAAGTTGCATATTCTCTTATTCCAATATTCAGAATCAATGCATGGTCTCTCTCCACTTATCTGCAAACTAAAGGCCCTATATTATTTGCTTGTTTTCAATGATTTCACATCTAAAATAGGGGTTAGATCATGTTTCCTTGCTGCCAGTATTGTTAAGAGTCAGACTGGATAAGATTCAGCAATGAAGCCCACTGTGTTACCTTGAAACAATCACTTTATCCATGTCTACATGATCACTATGAGGGTCAAAATGAAGTGAGAACTTGTATATTGCCTTTAGCTCTCAGAGAAAAGGTGGAATTTAAATGTGAGAAAATAAAAAAATAGATACATGTGTATATAAATTATAATAAGGCGCAGGCAGTTTAAAACACACCTGCACAGCCTGATTCCTTACTGTGGAGGTACAATACAACAGAGACAACATACATTCATTACTCTGCTTGATCTGGTAGAAAAGGATTAGTCACAACCTTAAACTCTGGCACTGACTGTGTTCTTCCTCAACCATGTCCTATTTGCATGCTATATGTGCATGTCCTCCACCAATTGGACAAGAGTTCCCCAGCTGTGAATAACAACTACATTAACTAAATATAACAACACTTTACACAATGCCCATTTTAAATGTTCTCCTTAACTCATTTTTGACCAGTGCAAAAGGTTCCTCTGAGGACTCCAGAAGAACTATGGGCCATGCACTGATTTGGCTATTGGGCAGTATAAACATGCATTAAATAAACTAATGCATTCAAACAATATCCATGGACAAAGCAATGCACCATTAAAGGAAGTAGCCATCATCAAGGGACTTTCTCTGCCTACATTCCTTCCTATAAAGTCAGTGAGAATAGAGGGCTTGTGTATCTTTGGGAATATTTATTTGCACTAATGATGTTTTTGAAAGGAAATGTGAACTTTTTCATTCTTTTGTCTTGCTGTTATCATTTGAATGCATTTCCATGCAAAATACCACAATTTCTTGCTGCGCTGAAGAACAGCTGTAATTACAAAGTCAAATGCAATCATTAAAACAGCAACAATTGCTTGACACCATCTTAGATTGCTCATTCCACCCAAACTGGAATAAGTGGTGTTGAATAATATACTAATATTGAATGCAAAGGCTTGATATCATTGTCCTTTTCCACTCAAGGACTACCTCTGCACACCTTGTAGATTAACTGCACACACCTCTTTAGGTTTTTGGGCTAGGAAGATGGCAAGGTTTTAATTCTGTGGGTTGCTCTCCACAGCAGGCTACAACCAAAGTTTTTAGCCATTAGCTTGACCTTCTGTTTTCTGACTAGTCTTATTATGTGCACATAGAGATAGAGGCAATACTAAAAATGAGTTGAAAATGACTTCATTCACTTTCATTATGGCTGGCAGGCACCAAGGGACTAACAGACAAGAAGCAGGGCATCCATGTATGAACTTGAGTTTGCTTTAAAAATCAGAGAGCTAGAAAGAAAGGAGAGCAGGGACACAGAGAAAGAACAGTAATAAAGTAGAGGATACAGAAAACAAAAACATGGTTGCTGTGAAAACTGTGGAACTAAAAAAACAAAAAAAAAGGTGTGATCTAATTTTAAAGACTTCTAAGAACTTTTTTTTTTTTAAAAAAAAGATATTATGGCTTAAAAATAATTTATGTGATTAATGTAGGGCCCCCAAGTGCTCATGTAATCATGAGTTTTAAGGACATTAGCATACTAATAGTCACATGCACATCTGGAATCAGATGCAAATATAGTTTTATAGTAAATTCCTCCATCCCTGTGGGAAGACTCATAAATTCACAAGATGCTTTTGAACTGCCATTCAAAACCATTCACAAATCTTTCAAACAGGTGTACTGTATTTATAAAGTATTCCTTACCAAAATGCTTGAGACCAGGATTTGGGATTTTCAAATTGGAAAGGCGGCGGGTGGGGGGAATACTTATACTTGTGTATACATACATAAAGAGATGTCTTGTAGATAGCAGTCATGCCCAATTTTGAAATGCATTTATGTTTCATATATACTTTATACACATAGTTTGATGCTAATTTTATACCAATAATAATCTATTCTATGAAAAACAACATTTGTGTATAATTAACCATCAGACAGCAATGATGTCACTATCTCAGCCAACCATGTGGACAGATTTTGGAGTGTGGGGATTTCTTGAGAAGGGAAGCCCAACCTGTAATAACTTTTGCATTACTTGCATTAGGTTTGATTTGTACAAGCAGCATATTGTGTCTAGGGTTTTAAAGAAAGGTGATGCTGAGAAAGGGTTTTTGCAGTTGCATATTAGGCCAATTTATTGGGAATGGGATCATGGAGAAAAAGTGAGGTTGACATTGGTGTGAACCCCAAAGGTGATTTCAGATTACCTTGATGTTGTCTTGCCAGCGATGGGCTTTCTGAAACCTCTCTGCTGCATCAGCCAATCTCTGAAAGTAAAAGAAGAGAAGGGTGAGTTCATACAAAGGAAGGTCCAGTTGCAATACTGAACCATCACTTATTTCATCTCTCCTCTATCAGATGTGGAATCGGCTACATTATACCTCTGCAGCTTAGTAGATAAAAAGGCATTTTGGACCCCTACCATGATAGCCCTGTTATGCAGACAGAGTAATCACAAGTTTATAGGGTTCCAGGCCCATTGTCTAGATGCAAATCCGATCTTGTTTAATTAAATGCTTGAATTAGTGAAGATCTCTTTGCTTTGCATTTCTTTTGGTGCTGTATTTGTTTTCCTTCAGAAGCACGATTGGCTTCTATTGGCATATGAACATAGACAGCAGTCGGTGGTAATACTTGCCTGGCATTCCTACTCCCTCTTCTTACCATTGAAGTCACTTTATATAGGTTTTCCCTCCCATAGGTCATGCCACCAACTTAACTTTCTAAGGGGTTTTATGAATAATTTGAGATGGCTAAAATTCAAGACTCTAATGAAAGAGTCATTGTAAGTTGGAGGTAACTTGAAGGCACACAAGAGCAACATGTTAATACAGCAAATTTCATTGCCTAGCATAAAGTTGACATAGCTATACCCAAGTCAGCATGATGAAGAGCTGGTGAAAGTAACAGTTTTTTTTGTTTACGCTGGTTTATAGTCACTGAAATGAATTTGGATGGATCACTCATAGTATCAATTGGTATCTGAGGATACTGTTGTTCACACATGTCTAAATAATAACTTTTGCATTACTTGCATTAGGTTTGATTTGTACAAGCAGCATATTGTGTCTAGGGTTTTAAAGAAAGGTGATGCTGAGAAAGGGTTTTTGCAGTTGCATATTAGGCCAATTTATTGGGAATGGGATCATGGAGAAAAAGTGAGGTTGACATTGGTGTGAACCCCAAAGGTGATTTCAGATTACCTTGATGTTGTCTTGTAGGCCTGGGTAACAACGGAAAAATTTGTTTCTAAAATCGATTTATATTTGGGGGGTTTTTTTGTTTCGATATTTAAAATAATTACAAAATTTTCCTTTTAAAAAGTTCGATATTTACGAAATTTCGTAAATGGTAAAAAATTAACGAATCGATTTCCGAAACAATAACGAATCGATTCGTTAATGGCGGACGCGACCGCGAAATACGCTAAAAAACCTCCAAAAACTTCTGAAGCTTCCCTCTCCCTCTGTTGTTGACTGTTGGTGTGATATTATATTTTTTTTTCACTAATTAAACAAAAAACTTGCCCCAGACATGCGGAAATAATAACGAAACGACCTCAGAACAATAACGAAACGAATACAATAACGAAATACGAAGCATTTACAAAACGTGTTTAAAAATTCGTTTTTTTAAAAAATTGCTCCAGAATGGTTCGTTATCGTTTTGTAATTGAAAAATTAACGAATTATTAACAAATTACGAATTAATGAAACGAAACCGCCCAGCCCTACTAAATAGCCATCCCAGGCACAATGCACCAGACATTCACAGGAAATTCTTGCAGGGGGATTGGGATTCAGTGAGCAAACTCTTCTTTTAATTACAGAACCTCCACTCAGAGATGGCATTTAAAGATAGCCCGACAAGATCTAATCAAGCAGGGTGTTAAATGCAGATGCAGGAGCCAGCTTCTTGGCTTAAAATGTGTGAGATTTAAAGGTGGAAGAGGGGAAAAGAAGGGGAAAATCCATAGTGATTTTTAGTTTGTACTTCAAGTGATTGCAGAAGCACGCCTCATTACTTAGCAAGAAGCCAGGAGGCAGGATTTCAGCACCATCAAGTGTGGTGCTATGTCTCATCATTCCAGCTGCCCCTTTGGCCATCACAGAAGCCTAAAAGAGGCAGGAGGCTGCAGCTCTTTCCAAGAGGGTCAAGGACAATATGATTAACAGTTTCCTGCATCAGATTCCCATGAAATTGGGATCTCTTCCCCATTAAACTATTATAGCAACATGATTCCACTTAAAATGCCAAGGTTGCTTCCTATAGAATCCCGGAATATGAAATTTCTGAATTCTAAATAGCCCTTTCTAAAGAGCCATCTTGGTACAGTGGTTTGAGTATTGGACTACAACAGTGGAGACTAGTGTCTGGATCCACATCTGGTTGTGGAAACCCATTCAGCGACTCTAAGCAAGTCACACAGCCCCAGAAAACCCTTAGGGTCATATAAGATGGAAACAAATTGAACACACACACACACCAACAAGGTGCAAATCAAGAGTCAGTGTGGTATAGCAGTTTGAGTGTTAGACTTTTGGATATTTGGGTTTAAATCCTGACCCAAGAATGGAATCACACTGGATGACCTTGGGCAGGTCACACTCTTGACAATGGCAAACCTTCTCTGGATAATACTTGCTAAGAAAAACCTGTGATATAAAGCCTTAGGATTGTCATAAGTCAAAAATGACTTGAATACACCTAACCACAGCAATTGTGGAAATACTAGGATTCCAAAGAATCAAGCACTTCAAATGCTACAATGGTGTGGTGTGAAATGGGGGAATATTTGGTCAGCCTCTTGGGACTTCATAAAAGTGTGTTAGTGGGCCCGTGATACATTACCATGAGAACTAAATATTTGGCACTGGTTTTTTCGACATTGGAACAATATGGAAACAAGAAAAACTCATTAGAAAAATGACATTCTTTCCTCTCATCCTCCACTCTTCCTGGACAAAGGGAATGGCTATTCCCTTTAGTGCAATTATAGTTGATCCTATAAAATGTATGTTGCCTTTTGATTTTGGATTTAGTTTTATTGTTATGAACCAACCCAGTTCTCTTTGTTTCGATTAAGGTGAGGATATCTATGTGAAGGAAAGACCAGCAAGTTAGGTAGACTGACAGTAGACATGAGGAACTACATTTTGGACTCTGATACAATCTCAGACTGATAGCTAATTTCCTGGAAAAGTACTTTTCTGACATTTTGACCTGGGCCCCACTAGTAAATAAACCTGCCCTTATAAACCCTTCATTCTACCCTCATACAATTAATCCTCAGCACACTGCTAAGCACACATATAGGCAATATGTACTTGAATTTAAGAAATACTCTTAATGTCACGGTGTGCAGCCCTTCAGATGAAGGTATTTAAATAGAGGCATGGTGGATGTCTTTCTGGAGCGCTTCTGCTGTTTCTTCCTATATACCAGGGGATTGTACTAGATCATCCTTGGATTTACTTCCATGCTATGATTTTATGTCCTGGAGTGTAACCCCCAGCATTCCTCACCACTGATTAGGCTGGCTAGGAGCTGATTTCCCTCAATATCTGGAAAGCTACACAATTTCCTGCCCTTTTGAATGGGTACCTCAAGAGTAGGCCTGGCGCTGTCTCCTATTTTTATGGGCCATTCCCAGGCAGGAGAGTTGGGGTAAGTTCTCCAGTTTTGGCATGTTCAGCTCTGGGCAAGTGGAAAGAGCTGGGTGCAAATTCTCCAGCTCAACCAGAAGAGTAGCAACTTCCTACAATTTGCAAGGTTTCAGGGATTGGTTGCTGCAATTTGCAAAGATTCTCCAGAACTACTGTATGTAATCACACAGCTTCATCTTTCCCTCCCAGCTATATTTTCAAAGCATACTCACTACTCCATATACAATCTCTGGCTAAATTAAATGTTATTTAATCCATTTCCACAAGGAGATGAACAACTGTTGTTGGTATTTAATAAGATTCCTGTGCCATGGTCTAAAAGCATGTTTAAGCATCTCAGACCTATTCTCATAGAAAGCTAGAACACACTGGCATAGCCTTTGTTTTCCAGTCACATGGGCCCCCTAATAGCACCCTCTAAACACAGATCCTGCTATCTACTTATTCCACCATCTGTTAGATCATACCTATCAATCTGTGCTTCGCCCTTTGTAGGCCATTTTTGATTGTAAGAAGTGTATAATTCTGAGAATTGGGTCATTATTGTGTGAGTCCATTTTGTGTTTTCATTACTGTGCCATTTCACGGTTGAAAAATAATGCAGTTCTGGGTTACTGTGTCCATGTAAACTTCTTTTGTCTATCGTGATAAATATGAATGACATAATAATTATGGATATAACAATTCCCAGACTTATATTCATTAGTTTATGATCCCACGGGATTGTTCTCAGAGCCAAACCTTGTTTTAGGATGCTGGAGTCACCAGAACTCCAAGGGTTCAAATCTCTGACAATCTCTGTCATTTTGAATACAGTGCTCCAAATCATAAAAGGGGGGTAATGGTTAGGTTAGTTGCAAGTCCTTTCCATCTCCTAATCGTACCTTTTAATTCAAAGGTTCTGGGATAATTCTGAACATGAAATCCTACACACTATTCAATGTATACTAGAAATCTAGTAAAAGAAGAAAAAAAATCTCCCTGCCATGAAAATAACCCCTCTTTTGTGAAACTCACCTCAGAATCCATCAGGATCTTCCTGTGGGCCCCAACCTACAGCCTGAGGAGCATTGCCCTAGAAACTCCATTGAGGAGCAGTAGTTTACAGTTGGAGAGTTTCAGCTATATGCTTATACTTCACTGGCATATTCATAAATTGAAAAAAAATATATCACAAAATGTCATGGGGACAATAGGGAACCTTCTTCCAAGTAAAAGCAAACATATGTAAGCATGTTGCTACGGGTACTGCAGTCCTCTTTGTTCAGAGATGGCGAGCATGGGAAAGATAGTACTGTCCTCTTACTATGGGTGAAGCACTCACTTGTGAATTTAGATATTTATCTTCTTATAGATTTATTTATATCTCACCTTTCAAAAAAAATCAGCATCCCCAAAGATAAGAATGACCAATTAATGAAGCTCACCCTAGCGCCTTATCCCCACCCCTCCTGAGAGTCAAAGCAATGCAAAATATACTGACTGTAACATATATGCAAGAGGCAGCCTAAAACCAGTCACAATGTGTTCTCACATCCAGATAAGTACAGCAGGGACAGCAATAATATGCACATTGTGCTTCAGAGCAGCAGCCTAGAAAG